AAAGCAAGTTAGTAAGTTATACATTTTTTATCATTTTAATTTTGTAAAGAAAGCAAGTTAGTAAGTTATGCATTTTTTGATCAGGTTAAGAACTACTTCCTCGAACGTTAGAATCAATGCTTCAAGATTTACAGGCGAAGAACGAGGAAGGATACGATTACATCAGCCTCATCGATAAAGAAATGTGGACGAACGCATATGATGGTGGATATCGATATGGACACATGACGACCAACTTGGCTGAGGCAATCAATTCAACCTGAAAGGGTGCACGTCACTTACCTGTAGCGGCTTTGGTAAAAACTACATATTTTTGTTTGGGGGCGCTTTTTGCGAAGCTCGGGGGACAAGCTCAAACCTGGATGCAAGGCGGTCATGTCTATCACCCTAGATTAGTTGCAGATCTACAGAAAAAAATTGTTGCATCAAATGGAATGTTTGTAACAAGCTTCTCTAGAAGGCATGAAATGTTTCGTGTTACAGAGTTGCCCTGACCTCTTCAAGGGATTGAAGTTGTGTCGTTAAGAGTAAATCTAAGGGACAGAGCTTGCGACTGCGGGTTTTTTCAAGCTCTCAAGTATCCATGCTCTCATGTGATAGCAGCTTGCTCGCATACACGTCAAGACTATAACCATTTTGTGGATCCCGTATACCTACTATCTGAAGTTTTTAAGGTATACGAATTTGAGTTTCCCCCCATAGGTAATGACAAAGACCCTGATGAGGTTCAAGATTGGCTTCCGATTGTACCAAATTCGAGTTTATTAAGGGAGCGTGGTCGTCCAAAATCCTATCGAATTCATTGCGATATGGATATTCGAGAAAGATCTAGACAAGACAGAAGATGTGGCCATTGTAGAAACCCAGGAACACACTAGAAAAACATGTCCACTTCTGTTGTCATCAAGTAACAATTGATGAAGAAATGATGTATTTGTTTATCAAATAATAATTCTTGTATTTTAATTTGCATTTACTTCAAGTTAATGTCATTCGATAATCGCTGATGAAGATTAAAAAAACGAACACTATTATTAAATTTTATCAAACTAATAACAATTTGATATTTAAATACAACAAACTTACAATAAGAATTAAATGGTAAATGATAACCAAATTACAATAACTGATATTAAATGGTAATAAACAAAATTAACTAAAATATATTAAAAAAAAGTCTAATAAATTTAACAAAATAAAGTAAGTATTAAATGAGAAATAATAAAAAATTACAACTAAACAAAATAAAGTAAATACAAATATAATAAAAAAAATCTATCGATGCATGCGTCGCGAATGTGTTCCGTATGGCGGTGGCTGTCGGTCTCGAGGAGGATTTCTTCATATCACTGGTTCTGACTCCTCGCTGTCATCGTCATCGTCACCATCGTCATCGTCATCATCGTCGTCCTGAGCAGGTATATCAGGTTGATGAGGAGCTGATGACGATGAAGCACCTCCATAGAATAAGGACCCTGGAGGTGTATGACTGACTATCCCACCGGCATGCGAAAACTGTGAAAATTGGGAAAACCCAGACATCGCTGAGTGTGAAAACTGTACATGAGGTGTCTGTGCTGCGGCCATGGGTGATGAGGATGAACCCGCCAAATATCCAGTATATGAACCCCAAGTCGGATCTATAAACATAGATCCATAATAGCCTCCAGGAGGGGCTGTGACGGTGGCGGTGGCGGTGGCATCTGGTAATGGAAAGGCGATGGCAGCATCATATATGGCTACGGTGGCTGCTGGGAAGGTCCTGCTGGTGCAACTGAGGATGAACCGGAAGCACCTGCTCTCCGTCCACAAGTCGGGGGACGATGGTGCTGTGTCGGTGAACGTCTCTGTCGACGTCGTGGAAAGGTCTACCCTCGTGCATCCTCGGGTAGTAGAAACGGTTTCCCGTTACTATTGAACCACTCATAATAATCCTCAGCATACATCAAGAGGTCATCAAAAATGGGCTCTCTACGGGGAAGGCGCCGATGTCGATCCTCCCACAACACGACCCACCCATGATGTCTCACCAGCCAATCTGTATCTGTCTTTCCATGTCTATCTAAGCTATGCAACTCGTCCATATTGCGAGGTGCTTCCGGAATTGGTTGAAAACAACCAAACTGTCGGAGCACGCGATCAGTGGAGTGCCACTCGACGGTCGCATAACAAATCAGAGGGACCATCGCCATCCAAACATCTAATGGACCCCTCAACTCAGGTGGGATCATCGCCCTCACATCATCAGTAGAATATGACACCCATTCAAACTAAAACAAATAATATATTTTTTTTTATCAAAATAATAATCTAATTATATAACTATAATCTAAAATCGATTTTTAAAAATTAAAATTCATATCTGTGTGTCAGCCTTCTGATCGATTAGCACCCTAATTTTTTCTAAATCATCAGGTAACTCCTGATGATTTTTCCTATCAGTAGACCACCTATTCAAGGAAAAAAATTTGTTATACGCTGTATAAAATTATTAATATACAAAATCAGTTTTATAATTACCTCAGAAGTAGTGGAAATACGAATGGGTTCTTCACAACAGGACATAAAAAGGGAAATCGATACCATGCCCAAGACTACAGCAGCAGGAGACATCTGCCGATAGCATTACGTCTGTAGTCAGTGGCTCCACACATCTTCCTGTACAGCAAATCCAAAACTGCCGAACCCCAACTGAATGATCCGGCGAGACGAAAGTCGCTAAGATGTCGCAACCACATGCAGTGAACTAGGTTGCGCGATTTGTCCGGCATCAACAACCCTCCTATCAACTGCAATATGCATGCCCGTGCATACATCTTAACCTCATCCTCAGAGGCGTCTGTGCTCAACTCCCGAAAATTGGCATCTAACCAATTTAATGGTATCCTACCTCCGATAAAATTTTCCGGGACACGTCCTAAACTATCCCGACACAAAGTAGTCCAAGAACCGGAAGCTATCCCCGATATCACATCCCTATCCACCGGAAGCCCTAGGTGCATAGAAACATCCTCAAGCTTGATCGTGCACTCTCCGCACGGAAGATGGAATGTGTGGATCTCCGGCCTCCACCGCTCTACTAAGGCAGAAATCAGGTCTCGCTCTATTTTACAGTGACCCTGATATCTACCTATATAACTGAATTCAGCCTCTACTAAATAAGGTAAGACACGGCTGGGTATCACTAACTTAAGATTCCTAATAAAAGGATCTAATACACGGTCCTTCTCCTAAAAATAAATAATTACAAAAATTAATTCTTAATCTAATAATCATGCATTAAATGAATCAACTAATTATTACTAATAATTTAAATTAAATTAAAACGTTAAAATGTTACAGTATCAGCAAAGTGTCGAGATATTTAATTCTTAATCTAAGAATCATGCATATAATAAATCAACTAAATATTACTAATAATTTAAATTAAATTAAAACGTTAAAATGTTATCGTATCAGCAAAGTGTAGAGATATATGATTTCCATCCGAGCGAAGTAGACTGCCTTCCATTATATATCTGCAAAAGAATTATATTAGTAAAATATTAAATAAAATAAAAACATAATAGTAAAAATATTATAAAATATACCTTAAAAAGAGAGTATTTGAGAGAAATTTAGATAATTTGAGAGAATTTGGTGTGATAAAAGTGATTGAGGAGGGGGTATTTATAGGGATGATGGGGACGTGAAGGGTTGGTAATTAGGGGTATAGCGTGCCCCCTGCACCGTGCTATACGGATAGCGCGGATCAGGGGGCGCACTATACCCACGTGGGGCCAAATCAGCATATAACGCGGTGTAGGGGGCACGCTTTTCTGCTAAGGGTGTTAGATCGAGAAATATAATCTGACCGATGTTATATCGATAATAATACCGATCACCGGTGATATATCGAGAAAATAGTCCCTTTGGCCTGCAATGACGCCAATTTTGCATCACCTATTAGTATTAACCCTTTTCATTTGTATTATTTATATAAAAGGGTCAGTGAACTTTATTTTATTTTGAGATTTGTTTTTGTAGAATAATTGTAACGGAGCTCTAAATATGTTTTAAATAATTTTATAAATTTTATGGTTTGAATTTATTCTAGGTTTTTCCTAAGTTGGAAAATAAAAAAAATTAAATAATGATTATTTCAATAATCTAATGTGACATACTAAATCCATCTCATAAAGGATCAAATTTTGAATATTACAATAAACACATTAACTTGAGTTTTAGTATCAATCCTTTACTTATTGTTGTTCCAGGTGTTCTTTCTTTTAATAATATTTTATTTTAAAAAGAAATACTATTACATTATTAATAATATTAATAAATTATGAAAATATAAAACATATATTTAATTATATAAAACTAAAAATTCATTTAACATAATACACATTAATTAAAATCTATATATCGTTTTAGAATTTGTCCAATTATTTTAATGATTTGGTCGAATATTCAAAATGCGTAAAAAGACAACTTTGTTTACTCGTTTGCATATTTTTTAGGTAAACTAAATATTTACTTAATCATCTATTTATACAATTTTGTCTTAATCATTCGGTTATTTTTTAAAAAAATCTTACTTAAACTTTATGTTTTTATTATGCTTTGGTCATCTGCTATTAAAAATTAAACAGAACCGTCAATTTTATGATTTTTATTTTTTTCAATTATGATGTGATGTTATTTTATGATGGCACGTCAGTGTTAATGTTAATTTTTTAATAATAAATGATCAAAATAAAATGCAAAATGTATATTATATATAATTTTATAAAATCCATAATTGAGTGATCAAAATGAAACGGGAATAGAGTCACTAAATATGTAGTGTACCATTCTAAATACTTTTTTAAGGTTTAAAATAGAGAGAGAAAAAGAACAATAAAAATAAAAGGGGAAGAAAGAGGGGTCCACGAACACTGCTGAGAGTGTTGAGGTTCTGCATGTGACTTAAACGGCTCTCTCTTCTTCTGCTGCTATTTATGTACACTTTCCCACTCTTCTTCATTACAAATTATTCTCAGTCTTCCTTTCTTTAATCTAAAACAATGAAGGGAAACAGTGTTGGGTTTTTAAGCCTTTTGGTCTTTTCTTTTCTTCTTCTTTCATCTCTCTCAACATCTGCTCGTTTGCTGCTGCAAATCAACCATGGTTTGTCTCAACTAATCCCTTTTCCAAATTTATAGTAGCATATATCTTCTCTTTGATTTCTGCTTATGCTGAGTTAAATTGTAAGCAAACAGATGAAAAGGAGTTCAACACAAACGGGATGATCACCCAAGCTGATGCAGAGGAAGATCTCTCATATGTAAGAAATTTTATCTTTCCTTTGCCTTTTTTCCTTTCTGAGTTAAACGTGTTTTTTTTTTCAAAAAAGAAGAGGAAACTATATTATTGACGTTAAATGGGCTAATAGTATTTGTTTGTATTATTGGGGAAGAAGTTGATGGGGGCAGAAGAGTGCGAGGAGAAAGATGAAGAATGTGTGAAAAGAAGGGTGGTTCAGGAAGCTCACTTGGATTACATATACACTCAAAACCATAAGCCTTAATATTAAACAACAATATACAGATAGAAAGATAAATAGAGTATGTTTTACTTTTTTTATTGCTCTATCAAGAGAAAAATGTGTAGTTGTGGATGTCATCAACATAAATATAATATTTAGAGTTTGGATGTAATTTTGTTTTGAATAATTGAAGAGAATGATTTGCCTTATCTGTGTCTATAAAATAATTTTGTAATCATGTTTTGGATGATAATTAAGCAAAGGCAAGAGATTATTATTGTGTGATTTCATAAAGGAATGAATGGTGTAAACTGTAACGGCAAGGAATTAAAAAGAGGAGGATATTCGTCGGTCAAACAGCATAATATATCAATGAATCGGAATTATAAACCAAAAATTAGATGAAGATGAAGAGGAGACACAAGAGAAATTGAGAGGTTGAAACTGTTGGAAAAATTATGAATTTAATATTTATATTAAATTCATATTTCTTTTGATTATTACAAAATAAAAGATAATTTTAATTTGAATATTAATATTAATAGGATAATTATTCTTCAAATACGTCAATTTAAAAAGTATTTGCTATCTTTTTAACATTAAATATTAAAGATAATTGTATACTTTTGTATATTTCAAATATAAATAATATCTATTTAAGTTTGAAGGGTAAAAAGAGTTTATTTTTTTAATATTTCAAATTAAAAGATATTATTATCCATTTAAAGTTGAACATTAAAATATATTTATTTGATTAAATATCTCTTGAAAATCTCATATAAATAGTGAGTTAACCTGCTAGGTTAAACACAAGTTTCAGAAGTCAAAAGTTTCAATAAGTTTTTGACGAGTTCAAAAAGGAGAAATTTTTTTCTTCAACTAGTTTTTCAGTGATAGTCGAAGGCAATGATAGTTCATGATTTCTATTGTTGTGCTACTGTAACTTATCATTTAGTTGTTGTAACCTGGGAGACATACGACCAACGAACTCAACCACCAAAGGAGTGTCCGAAAATCCGTCTTAAGGAAACTGTGTAGTGATAGGCCTCAAGTTTTTTCGATCGATAGATAGATAAAAATAAAAAGGAGTATTTTATTTCCGTTTATTTTATCTTATCTTTTAAAAAGTTTAACTTTTTTTCTTATGATTAATTTCGTCTCAGATTGTTGTTTTGAATAAAAATCTCAATACAAAGTAAACTCGTTTTATCCCTTTTTCTCTTAATTTTATAATAATATTTTCTATATTATTCTCGGATTAACGATCTTTTTTCTAACAATCTTAAGACATGTTTTATTTTCTTATTTTTTTCGAGATAATATAGAATTCGTTTGAGTTTAATCTATGATCAAGTGAACGATGATTATGAACGAACTGATATAGGATTCAATACGAGTCAGTTCAATGAATTATACAAGATTTCATGTTGAAACAATTTGGTGTAAAATTTGGACGTAAAGATCAAAGCAAATTGCAGTTCAAAGAAATTTAGGTTCGATAAATTTCAATCAAGAATCCAAGCTTTGATTGACAATGATGAAGTCAATCAGGTAGGTGAAATTTGAATATTTTCCTTTAATCAGAAATGATTCGGAACTCTTTCTTCTACCTTTATTTAATCTGAAACGGTTTAGATATCGTGGAAAATGAGATAGCGAACAAATTTGGTTAGGGATTTATCCTGTCGTTTTAACGGGTTTGCTAAAATCTCAAAGTGAACAAATATGTATAACATAAATTGTCATTGAAGTAACATTGATTATTGATTTTGCTTCAGAATTTTTGTTTTTTCTGATAACAAAATAAAAAATCAACAAGAATTAATTTTCTGTTTATTAGAATCGTTTGATTTCGTATTTGAAATCAGCTGGGATTTTAATTTTTCCGTGTAATAAAATTATTTGATTTCTATAGAAATCATTGAAAAGTGACAACTCCGTTACTAATTTGTTTCAGAATTTTAGTTCATGACTAAATTATGTTGGTACAATAAATCAAAATTTAATTTTGGTTTATTGTTGGAATTACTACTAATTCTAATTTTGTATGTTAAACGAAATCATGAGTATTTTGTATGTTAAACGAAATCATGAGTCACAACGATAAGCTTGTAAAATTCTATAGATAGAATTTCAAGATATGACAACATAAGATATTGTTCTATTTGGTCATGTTGTATTTGACCAAGCATAGGATGATCTTTATATTATTAGAGATGATGAGGTAAATGTTGTTACTGCACTTACTATTGTCTAAATTTGGAAGTAGTATGACTTCCTATATTGGAAATACATCATGAATGTATTATTGGATGCACTATATAAGGTGTACAATATTCATAAAAAGATTATGGATAACATTGGACCATAGATACGAAACAGAAGATGCTGGTACTAATGGATTGTTAGTGACCAAGTTCTTAAAATTCGTGATAATGTCGCAAACGAGAGGTAATAAATATTTATTACCTTCATTGATAACAGCAAAAGTATTGCTATGTGTATTTTCTAAAAACGAAAAAGTGAAGTTATAAAGAAATTCATTCTTTATAAACAAGAAGTTAAAAACCAACTTAATATAAAAATTAAAATGGTAAGTAGTGATAGTGGTGGTGAATATGTTAAATCATTGTGCACACATGATATTATTCATGAAGTGACATCACTATATTCTCTCTAAAATAAATGGAGTGGCAAAGCGGAAGAATTGAATCTTAAAGAAAATAATGAATGCAATCCTAAGAAGTTCTGAGTTATCACAGAATATGTGGGGGAGGAGAAGTTGTTTTGTCAACTAATTACCTTTTAAATAAGGTCCCCAAGAAAGAAAGAAAAGACAAGACAACATATGAGTTATGAAAAGGTCAAAAACATGTGTCATATAAATACTTAAAAATGTAGAGTGTCTTGAGAAGGTAATGGTCATATTACCAAAACAAATGAAAATAGGTCCTAAACGACATATTATATTTTCTTTGATTATCCTACTATCTTAGAATGATAAACCGATGCTACTTAGAATTTGATATTGAAGATATCAACAGCGCAAGTGAATATGTTTCACATTGTGAAGAGAAACTATTACAGAAATCCTTAGAAAATAGTTATAACAAGATTCATAAAGGAATCTAAGTTTATAACTCTAGATAAGTCTGGAGAATAAGCTAAATGGCTTTGGAATTTCTTGGAGGATATTCTTGAATGGCTGAAACATGTGCCCACAGTATGCATATAATGTGACTAGCATACAATTTCAAGTACAATGGTAAGTCGAGGCATATTTGTCTTCTTCATAATACCATAGACAACTAATCTCAAATTGAGTTATCTATGTTGATTTTGTAAGATCAAAGGATAACATCGCAGATCCGTTAATTGAAGGGTTAAATTGAGATCAAATTGAGAAAACATATAAAGGAATGAGACTAAAGCCTGTGAAATTTAAAGGTTTTATGTGAAAGAAAACCCTACCTAGTTGACTAGAGATCCTAAGATCTAGGTTCAAATGGATAACATAATTGTATAAATCGTGTACGGTCATTGTGAGGGTTTCTTATCCCAAGTTTGTTCCTATAATGTAAACAATGATTACAGAGGTATAGACTAAGCAAGGCTTTTAATGACCATTGTATGCTTCGGTGAGACGAGCAACATAAGTCACCTTGTGAGAGTGAAGTGGGGTTGCTTCAAGAAGACTATTGGGCATAATTCTTTCAAACTCTTGCAGAACCGGGCGGATGTCCTTGGCTTTAAGGACAAACCCAAGAGAACTAAATCCTTGTATGATGGGTAGTTGTGTGAAGTATGTTATCATTTACACAAACAGTTCAAGGACATCGCATCAAATGTTTAACCAGTAAAGTAAATATACTATCACAAAGAATGTTCAAAAGAGGACACTCACCTATCATATGCAACTCTCAATCGTAGAGACTATCACCACACCGAGTCAAAATGTTTTTGATAAAATCGTCAATTTTCATTCATGTAGGGGATTTTTGGAAAAATGGTGAATTTAATTGATGTATTTAATATTTATATTAAATTCATATTGTTTTTTACTATTGCAAATTAAAAGATGACTTTTAATTTGAATATTAGTATGATAATTACTTTTTGAATATTTCAATTAAAAAAGGTATTTGTTATCTTTTTAACTTTGAATATTAAAGATAATTATATACTTTTCTATATTTCAAATTAAAATAATATCTATTTAAGTTTCAATGATAAAAGGAGTTTATCTTTTAAATATTTCAAATTAAAAACACCTTGGTTAAACACAAGTTTCACAAGTTAAAAGTTTCAATAAGTTTTTGACAAGTTCAAAAAGAAGAAACTTTTCTCTTCCACTAGTTTTTCAATTATAGTCGAAGGTAAGGATAGTTCATGATTTCTACTGTTGTGTTATTGTAGTTGATCATCTAGTTGTTGTATCCTGGGAGACAGACAACCATCGAGCTCAAGCACCAAAGGAGTGGTCGAAAATCTGTCTTAAGAAAACTGTGTAGCTGTAGGTCTCAACTGTTTCCGATCAATAGATCAAAATAAAAAGGAGTATTTTTATTTCCATTTATTTTTTCTTATCTTTTAATAAATTTAACTTCTTTGTTTCATTTTTCTTGGGATTGACTTCTTTTCATATTGTTATTTTGAATAACAATCTCAAGATAGAGTAAACTAGTTCTATCCTTTTTTCTGTTATTTTATAATACTATTTCATTATTATTTTTTCTATATTATTCTTGGATTAACGATCTTTTTCTAACAGAACCTCAAGTTTTGATTTCTTTCCATATATTGCACCATGCTTTTCAATGCTCCTATCCATAACCGAAACCTTAAGGGGTCGTTTGGTTCACGGAATGTAAGATTACCATTGGAAATAAGATTAACGGAATGTTACATCACTTAACATATTACTGGGAATATTGTATTATCTTGTTTGATTTGTTTAGTAGGAATGTAAGATTATAATGTTTGGTTGATGAAATATAAGATAAGAAAAATGTATGTTTTACCAAATTTTCCTCGCGATATATTTTCTAGCAAGTTAAAGTCTTAATTAAAGTCAAAATATTTACACATAAATTCAAAGAAAATAAAAATTTATATTCTCTAATTATATATATATATATATATATATATATATATATATATATATATTCAATAAAATTTGTATGAAAATGACTTAATATTTTTTTATTTT